ATAACGACAAAATACCGCCTGATCGCCTATGTTAACTCACCCTAGCAGTCGATTACACAACACCACCTTACAGATTTACCACCCTAAGCTCAACATTCTTAACTAAACAGCGATTGTTTTATTTACGGTACTGTCATACCTTATATTATAATGCCTCATTGTCAATACCTATCAGTATAATATCTTTATCCTTGCTAATTCCAATCGATATTACATCATAACCTCGCTAATCCCAATCAGTATCCCATCTGTACACTTGCTAATCCAAATCAATATCCCATCTGTACGCTCGCTAGTTATTGTACATCACATCCACGTAAACGACGCCCTACTTTTGTCGGCGGATAAAGTTCATCTGTCAAACTATACTGGCTTTAGGGAGGCTCACTCTTTCGATTATTTGATGTTACATTCTCTTTGAACTCTGGCGTGCATAACCATCCTATAGACCTTTCGTACCATACCATAGACCTTTCGTACCATACCATAGACCTTTCGTACCATACCATAGATCTTTCGTACCATACCATAGACCTTTCGTACCATACCATAGAGTTTCCTCATCATCCCATTGTCCTGTTGTACCATCCCATAGACCTATCTTACCATCCTCTCTGACCTTTCACCTCGCTAAGCACATCGTATTTCCATCTGTTCTGTAGAAACTTTCATCACTTTACAATCACATGACCTACCTGCCACATCATCACTACATATGACCTACACACATCCACCCCCTAAAATCTACCTCAACACACATCCACCCCCGAAATCTACCTCAACACATCCACCCCCAGAAATCTACCTCAACACATCCACCCCCAGAAATCTACCTCAACACATCCACCCCCAGAAACCTACCCCAACACACATCCACCCCCAGAAATCTACCCCGACACACATCGACCCCTAGATAAATTATGGGGGTCATCGAGTCGTTGGGACACACATTCCACAAGATCAGACCCAGGTGTCATCACGTGACTGCACGTGCATCTGGTGTCTTGACATTTACTGCACGTGAGCTGCGTGTCTTAAAATACTCACCGATATTTTAACCATCCCACCTGCATGTAAGACTAACATCCCATTCAAAAACTTTCTACCGAGTTGTGATTAAATTAAACAACTATTGCAACCATTCGTTGTTCTGTATGCGGGGAAGTAACTCGCAAATGTTGTCAATATTTCAGATTTGATTGGAACAAAACACTCGGGGTTCCTTCCCCTGACCCTTTATGAACAACAAGAACAACCACAGGTCTGATTCAACGGGGCACAGAATAGTTCTTATCGTTTAGCCGTACCCACAACTGCTGTATCAGATAACGATAATCCTTAAGAGTTAGGGCTAGAGTTAGAGCTTTTAGATACAACTGTATTTAATAAAGAAACTTGAGTAGTAAACAAAAAAAAAACTTTTTTTAAAGACCGCAGGCAGTCATATTTCATTCTTTACACGCTGTAGGCCCACTCGGTGTGTTTAAAAAGTCATACATCAAGATAAACGCAACACAGAGAAAAAAAAACAACAGAGAACAAGGACGTCCTCACTCAATAAATCATGTCTGTATGGGGTGAGTGAGTAAATCTAGCACTCACCACCAACACCTGGTCGAGTTGATAGCGCTGGTACGAGATAGAAAAAAAGTCAATTCTTTTTTTTTAATAATGATTTAAAAAAAATATCGACAAGGTTATAAAGTGAAAGTGTTACTATAACAATAGACTGATTTTTGTTTTCTTTTTTTATATTTCCATCGATTATAAGCACGTAAATAGCTGAACACATTTTTGTTGGTTTTATACATCTACAACCAAATAAACCATGAACGCTACAAATGCACGGACAACCGCGCCGGTTTTAACACAAGGGCGAGCAAAATATCAAATAAATTGTGTATAAAGATATTTTTCCAATTTTGTTTTTCTTAGACATTTTCAGGATCGTCGGAATTCCAGAGTCGTTCTTGTCATACTGGCAAAGGGGAGGGTTATGTGGCGGGTTTGTGGTGGTTCATGTGGTGTTGGGTAATGTATGGATGGTTGTGTGTATGGTGGTCATTTGATTAGTCAAATGGGGGGTCATGTGGGGTGGATGGTCATGTTTCTGGTTATATAGTTGTCTTATGTTTGTGTCATATATATATATATATATATATATATATATATATATATATATATATATATATATATATATATATATATATATATACATAGTGTAATATTACGTTAACAGGTATCACTTTACATTCATGAATCATCTCTGCGCAACATTGAGTTGTTGCTACTAACTGTTATAGAAAAACCGCTTCCACACACTAAACGTCGTCCTGCTGCTCCACACAAACAGCAAAATAAAAACTGTTGGTGTACCATACCAACAACGGCACACCACACCAACCTTGTTGTACCACACCCACATTGTTGTACCACACCAACATTGTTGTACCACACCAACATTGTTGTACCCCACCAACCTTGTTGTACCACACCCACCTTGTTGTACCACACCAACATTGTTGTACCACACCAACACCCACCAACATTGTTGTACCACACCAACATTGTTGTACCACACCAACATTGTTGTACCCCACCAACCTTGTTGTACCACACCCACATTGTTGTACCACACCAACATTGTTGTACCACACCCACCTTGTTGTACCACACCAACATTGTTGTACCACACCAACACCCACCAACATTGTTGTACCACACCAACATTGTTGTACCACACCAACATTGTTGTACCACACCTACATTGTTGTACCCCACCAACATTGTTGTACCACACTACCAACTGTACTATAATTCTGTCTGGCAGTAAAAGATTTGGACAGGAACCGTTCCAGGAATCTGGAGCTGTCACGGTCGTTAAATCCATCAGCCCTTCCACATGACTACCCCCCCCCCCCTTACAAGACACCACTCCCAACAAGACATATCGCCCCGCCCCCTACCACAGAGTTGAAAGCAGAACCCCACTGTGCAAACACTCATGTATGAGGTGATAATCACGACATGAATCCAAACAGCTTTTCCCAAAACGTTTTCGGCATCTTTTTTTTAAGGGAATACACCCTTACAAATGTATTGTTTATTTATCAGATACTGCATGCCCATAAGAACATAATGCTACTTAAATATAACACGGGATAACCAATAAGGTAATAAAATAGAGATAAAGCAGAGTAAGAAAATGGAGTAAGGCTTTTACTAGATAATTAGAAACGGCAAACCGATGCGTAACTCTCTGAGATGTTAGTTTCATAGACTTTTGATGTCAGACTGAACAACCTTGGGATTTAATATATTTACATATATATATATATATATATATATATATATATATATATATATATATATATATATATATATATATATATATATATATAACTTCCCCAGTACCAAAAGCTCACTCTTTATAACCTCATCACCTGAACTACACCCAGTCAGTTCCCATGAAGTAAATTAGGTGTCAGGCGAAAAAGATTGTCTGATCATGAAATTGATTACAGTTGTCTATTTAGATGTATTGCAGAGACAAGTTAGCAACAAAGGGACGTAACTACAGCCTAAGATATTATACTAAAGGGGCGTAACTAAAGCATAAATAGATGACAACTAAGGAACAAAAAAGGGAGGTAGTTTTTAGGTTTATTTTGTTGGCCTTTTTGTTGAAGTACTAGTTACAGATTTAATGACATATAAATATAATCAAATAAATCTTATGTCATATAAAACGAGTGACATAGATTTATTGACTTTTAGATCTAGTGACATATAACAATAGTGACTTATGACACTAGTGACACGTTGCCTTGTGAACTCGTGAACTAAGCATCATCATTTAAAAAAAAATCTCTGTAAGATTTTGTATGTTTGAAATGGTTGACTATACGAATTGACAGCTGGGGAGGGGGGAGAAGGAGGGGGGTACAGACAAAACAGTTATTGTCCCATTGTCTCCCTTGTTTGCTGGACGGGTTGTTTATTGTTTTACCTCCCCTGTCTGTGAGTTGTGTTCCCTGAAACTGCACCCTATTGTTGGTTCCCCTTCCCTGATTGGATAACTCGCCGTGAATTTCCGGTCTACTGCTGGATAGATGTGTCACGTGACTGTATCCCGGCATCCACGTGCTGATGAATTTATGCAACAAGTTGTAGCGTGTGGGCCAGACACCAAGTGTGTTTGTGTAGCTCTTCATCATGGCTGACAGATGGGCTAGGGGCGGATTTAAGGGGAGGCTGGGCGGGCTGACAGTCAGGGGCTGATATATATATATATATATATATATATATATATATATATATATATATATATATATATATATATATATATATATATATATATATATATATATATATATATATATATATATACAAATAAAATCCTTGAGATATACTATAACTTTATCCTGGGGGCATATGAAAGATTAATTTTCCCAAGGTCATAAATCACCTCAACATTACGGCGCGTGTAAATCTACCTATGTGTGAGAAAGTCCGCAAGAAGATTATATTATTCTCAGTGTTTCTTCCAGACTTTTTTCTCCGGGGGGGGGGGGGGGGGGCACTTGAAATCTTCGGGGGGGGGGGGGCGGTAAACTTTCTTCGGGGGGGCGGACACTGTTAAAAGTATATATTTTCTATATAAATTATATAAATTTCATTTCGTACGGGGGGCGGTAAAAAATTTTCGGGGGGACTTGGCCCCCCCGAAGAGATGCCTGGAAGAAACTCTGATTATTCTTCAAGTAGGCTTGTCCCCGAACCCTCCAATATACCCAGTTTGTTAAAATAATCAAAGATAAACCAGTAACTTAAGTATATTTCTTTAGATTTGAAAAAGCTTATAAAATAATGACAGATGATCCAACGGTGTACCATACATTTAGCCCCAATTTTCCCCCCTCTCCTGACAACATTGGCGCTGGCTGTTTGAGTAGTCCCCCTTTATTTCCGAGTTGCCCCACTTCCCCGGCCCCCGCCTTCCTCACGGCGTCTCGTCCCCTTCCGCCTGTCCCGACTTGCGCCGACGAACAATACCTGAACAATAGTCGTCTGCTTCTCTAGTCGCGTGGTAAGATAGCGCCAGTAGACTTACCCGTTTTTTCTTGTCGGATTTCTGCAGATTCTCAGGTAAAACATTTTTTTTTTGCTTTAATGTTTTTTTTTTAAACGCGCAGCTTTTATCATTTAAATAATAGTTTCAGCAGTTTAAAATTTTCTTTAATTCTAAATAAAAACCTTAACAAATAATTACAAGAAACAATCCACGGTGTTGCATGTGTTAAAACATGAGTGACCACAAAACTGTTCACCTTGTTTCAAAAATTTAATTTCTTTCTTGAATTTTTGAAAAAAAAAACATTGTTTTTAAAAAAAAATCAAAGCGATTTGTTTTCCTTACAAAATTAAAATAGATTTTTTAAAAACAGAATTCCATGCAATCCGTTCTTCCTGATTGAAAACCTACAGCACGGCTGATTAAACGTCTTGCCTGTAGACTAAAGACTGAAATGGCGTTTGATTTATTGCTTCCATATTGCCCGTTGGAAACACTTTTTTCAACCATTTTGGCGCCGGAGTTTCCAAGAGCCCTTTCATCTTGCTTAATATTACAGCCCGCACCGTTATATTTTATTTACTATAACGCTGCAAATTTCTGTTATTAAAGTAATGCACCCTTTTCTTAAAAAGTTGTGTGCCTTCAACAAGAGTTTCGTACCCTGAGAGAGATTAAACAGTTATGTCTCCTTAAAAATGTTACAGTGGTTGTATACCTTGAGAATGATTAAAGTGTTGTGTACTCTAAATGTCGACACAGTCTAGTTGTGTACTCTAAATGTCGACACAGTCTAGTTGTGTACTCTAAATGTTGACACAGTCTAGTTGTGTACTCTAAATGTCGACACAGTCTAGTTGTGTACTCTAAATGTTGACACAGTCTAGTTGTGTACTCTAAATGTTGACATAGTCTAGTTGTGTACCGTCAGACAGCTTCAATCAAGTGTTGCAGCCCGTCCGGTTCTGTTTAATCAGTTGTTTCTAAATTATTCCACGACATTTTGAATCCTCTTCATCTATAAGCCAAAATATTATTTTACTTAAGCGATCAGTGTTGTATTAGAAATTAACTTTTATACTTTGTCTCGGTAAATACGTCCTTATTAAATATGTAAACAAAGGTTGGCCATCCCCCACCCCCCCCCAAATATCGCAGTTAAGATAAGTAACTCTTGTGTCATTTGACCTTTGTCGTAACATGCACGATTTGTTTCCCCTACATTCAGGTTTGTTTGGTTGTAAACACTTGTTTAAAAAATTCTTGAAGAGACAAGAGCCCAATTGATCATAGGCCCACTTACAGGTAGCTGGGCTAGGGCTAGAGAGTCCACTTATGGTATCCAGGTTTAGGGTGGATATATAGGGCAGTCTTAGGGTTTATGGTACACTGTTGACTATATAGGGCAGTCTTAAGGTTTATGGTACACAGTTGAATTTTGTAGGGCTATCTTGGGGTTTATGGTATATTGTTGACTATATAGGGCTATCTTAGGGTTTATGGTCTATTGTTGACTGTATAGGGCTATCTTAGGGTTTATGGTACACTGTTGACTATATAGGGCTATCTTAGGGTTTATGGTACACTGTTGACTATATAATATAGGGCTATCTTAGGGTTTATGGTACACTGTTGACTATATAATATAGGGCTATCTTAGGGTTTATGGTATGCTGTTGACTATATAGGGCTATCTTAGGGTTTATGGTATGCTGTTGACTATATAGGGCTATCTTAGGGTTTATGGTTAACTGTTGACTATACAGGGCTATCTTAGGGTTTATGGTTAACTGTTGACTATATAGGGCTATCTTAGGGTTTATGGTTAACTGTTGACTATATAGGGCTATCTTAGGGTTTATGGTTAACTGTTGACTATATAGGGCTATCTTAGGGTTTATAGTATATTGTTGACTATTTAAGACAAAATTAGGGTTTATGGTACACTTTTGACTCTATAGGACATTCTTAAGGTTTATGGTATATTGTTGACAAAGTTAGATAGCCACGATCGGGTTAGTGATCTATTGTGGTTTTACTAGAACCACAATTTGTAGCCTAAAGTTAGCTGTCCGGGTCATATTGGTAGCCTAAAGCTAGCTGTCCGGGTCATATTGGTAGCTTAAAGTTAGCTGTCCTGTTGTCCTCTAGCATGTTGTCTGTCAGTAGGACTGAATAAGGTTAACGGTCCGTTGTTTGCAGACTGGCTAATAGACTTTCTAACAGACTGGCTAATCGACTTTCTAACAGACTGGCTAATAGACTTTCTAACAGACTGGCTAATCGACTTTCTAACAGACTGGCTAATAGACTTTCTAACAGACTGGCTAATCGACTTTCTAACAGACTGGCTAATAGACTTTCTAACAGACTGGCTAATAGACTTTCTAACAGACTGGCTAATCGACTTTCTAACAGACTGGCTAATAGACTTTCTAACAGACTGGTTAATAGACTTTCTAACAGACTTGCGAATAGACTTTCTAACAGACTGGCTAATAGACTTTCTAACAGACTGGCTAATCGACTTTCTAACAGACTGGCTAATAGACTTTCTAACAGACTGGCTAATAGACTTTCTAACAGACTGGTTAATAGACTTTCTAACAGACTTGCGAATAGACTTTCTAACAGACTGGCTAATAGACTTTCTAACAGACTGGCTAATCGACTTTCTAACAGACTGGCTAATAGACTTTCTAACAGACTGGCTAATAGACTTTCTAACAGGCTGGCTAATAGACTTTCTAACACACTGACTAATAGACTTTCTAATAGACTGGCTAATAGACTTTCTAACAGACTGGCGAATAGACTTTCTAACAGACTGTCGAATAGACTTTCTAACAGACTGGCGAATAGACTTTCTAACAGACTGGCTAATAACAGACCTGTAAACAGAAGTTATGTAACAGAAAAAGTCGAACAGTAGACTTCCTGTCACGTGATTTGAATATAAATTGTCTGGTCTTTGTCTGGTCTGTCCGGATGTTTCTCATGGCCCTACTGTGAGCATTAACATTTTTTTCATGGGGGGAGGGGGGGGGGGTCCTGCAGACTTGGCTATGTAGGGGGGGGGCATTAAAGACCTGGTCATGGGGAGGGGGGGGGGGCGTGACGTTGCTTACATAGACTAGTAGGTCGACCAAGACTTACCTGGTTCAAATCTAGTTCACTGCTGCAACTGTCCCCCCCCTGGTTTAAACAGAATGAGGCCCAGGTTATGACTAAAGAGGGTCAATCCCTTGTTTACACGACATACCATAGACAACACTCTAAGTCTGCGACTACTTCAACAGTTTAAAGCTTTTCGGATGGTACTTAGGTTTTGGTGGGGGCGGGTGCTTAGTCGGCACTTTTTAAATTCTATAAATACGTATTTTTAAGTGGTGAGGGGATGAGGGGTTAGCGGGGGACAAATTAAGGACCAGTCGCTATATTTATTTTTAAAAAAATCAGCTTTAAACAATTGAGCATTTGCCCAAGGTAATTTACATTATGTTATCCCTTGACATTTTGCTTGAACCGTTTTTTGCTTAGTTTTAAACTTTTTTTTTTTTTTACACATTACCCAAATCTGATAAGGCAAATTTTACTTGAACATTTTTTTTACTGCTGATAACTGTCTGGTAATTGGACACGACAAATTGGAGTGTGTGCTGAAGGCTGTTGGTAAAATGTTCCGCTAATATGGAGTAAATTTGATAATTGGAGCTTCATCGGTCGCTTATCACTGTTTCAGCGACCTCCCCCCCCCCCCCCCCACATAAACCCCCTAAAACACCATAACCTTCACCCCCGCCCTCCAAACCCCTGGGTTTTGACAAACTTCCACTAGTGTTTTGAAGCATAGGCCCTATACACCATTGTTTAATATCACTGTGGTTTTGGTTTTGAATGGACGCCAGACAAAGATGGCTATGTTGAAGCAGGACAATCGAGTTATAATTTGTTTCGTAAACCCAGTTCAGGTTAAAGTTTTTTTTTAAATGAAGAGACTTAATGAGAATATGATATACAATAACTTTAAGAAAATTTGTTAAGTTAAAAAAAACAATGTATTTAATTAGACAATCTGGTTTCTTTGTTTTTTTAACATCTTTAAATACATTTTTAAAAAGATAATTTCCAAGCAGGCACCCCCTACCCCACCCTCATGACTGACAGACTGCTCCCCTCCCCCCACCTCCCGTCAGCAAAAATTACGGAAGAAGCTAAAACGTTTGAAACGTCTACCCCATCCGTCATAAGGTTTAGCCTGTTACACTTCCTCTGGCGATACCACGTGGTTTAAGGAGGAAACGGAAGCAGACGTTATGTCGTTAATGATTGGAGAGAAGAAAGAAATGTGCCACGCCCATGAATTACGTCACGTCATCACCCCCTTTCATGTGTTATTACTTTCTTGTTTACAGAATACTGAGAAAATAATGTAATTGTACAGAGCAGTTAAATAAAATTTTAATAGTTTTCGCCGTTCTACACCTCCCCAATGTAACGTATTCGTAATATAAAGGATGAACTGTGATCGTAAGAAAATCTAAAAGAGATTTTGACAAGTTTTAATGTTGTACACAGTACATTATTCCGGATCTGGAAAAAGTTGCAGTTTTGTCTGTTTCAGTTATGTTGTTGAAATTTCATATAATTATTATATCGAATTTGTAGTTCTACATCAACTTTTGAGTAATTGAGTGGTAGCTACTCTACTTATAATAACTTTAGTACAATTTAGGTTAGGTGGCCGAAATTTTACTTATAGTATCACATTGTATGCTCAGGTTTTATGGACATTTTAGATTATAAAACCTTTTCATTATGTAACTTTCAATTTTTTTATTGACTTCCTATACCCGCATGTGGTACTTAACTCAATTTCTGGTTTTTAAAAATACTAAGATATCAAATAAATTGAGTATTGTTTCAATTAGCTCGACAAAATTTTATGCATTGGTATATGATCGCTGTTTTCTTTCAAATTTTGAGTGATTTCCGGTGACTGGAAGTAGTACTTTGCGCTATTTCCGATTTCTTCAAAAAATGAATCAATATTTCCTTTTGAAAGTACTAATTT